ACTCTCAAGTCTGAAATGTGCATATGCAGCAGCCCGGAAGCAGAATGTTGGCCGTATACTTCAGGAGATGCTTCCAAGGAAAAAGGATTCCTCATAAAGAATCAGAAGTGCCATCATCATGTCTCATCTTCTCTGTTTAAGAGAGAAAATAGAGGGCTGGAGAGATGGCTCAGTACTTAAGAGCACTGACTACTCTCACAGAGGACCTGGGTTTGATTCCTAGCACGTACATGGTGGCTTACAGATGTCTGTAACTTCAGTTCCAGGGGGTCCAATGCCCTCTTCTGACATGCACATGATACACAAATTAATTTCTCTGAGGAAATGAAGGAAGCTGTTGTTTACCTTTTCTTTTGGCCCAGCTAACTCTAGTTTAGAACACGGACTTGCTGAGGATGCAACTCAGTGGTGGCATGCTAGCCTAGCACACACAAAGCCCTGGGATCAATCCTCAGTGTAAAAAAAATCACAACATCTTGTCTAAACCTAACCTAGACAGGCAAAACAGCTCAGGGGTAAGGTGCTTGCCTGGCAGGTTTAGAGACCCAGGTTTGATGCCCCCAGAACCCACATAAAGGTGGAAAGAGAAACTGCACAAAATTGTTTTCTGACTTCCACATGTACAATGTATCATGAACATCCACAAATATGCATCACATACCCACAGGAAAATATAAAAATTATAGAAAACTAGTCTTTCCCTATTCTTTGTTCTATTCTGGCTCACAGGGGCCATTCAGATGATGCCTGCCTAGTGAACATGGGGATGAACAGTTGAGAATGAGTTAGGAATATATTCAACGAAAGGCTTATCTTTTGTACCTATTCCAGCCCTACAGCAAGAGTTCTAAGCATCAAACATCTGCCACTCAAGTCCATTTTCATAGTCTATCTCAGATGTGGAAAATGCAATACGATGCACATATCCGTCTGCTTTGCATTACTATAAGTGAAATGCTCAGGGCATGATACTTTTTCTTCTTTCAAGGAAAAGAAGTTTGGTTTAAGGCACAGCTCTGGAAGTTGAAGGGGATGTTGCTGGCACCAGCTTGGTCCTGGGGACCATCTCAAGGTGAGAGCTTGTGCAAATGAGAGATACCATATGGCCAAACAGGAGTCTAAGGCCAGAGTCTGCGTCTGGACTTATTCTCATAATAATTCCCCCTCTTTAAAGTTTAGAGGCCCCACGAAAACAACAGGGTCCCTTCTGAGGCAGGCAGTGCCTGGAGTGTCCAAGAGACCTCCCACGAGTACTTACTTCATGTATGTGTTTGGGTGTACACATGCACATGTGTGGAAGCCAAAGGTTCTTCACTCACCCCACCTTTTGAGATTGTGCCACTTACCAGACCTGGGCCTCACCAACTCAGCAAGATGAGGTGTCCAGCCAGCCCCAAGATCCTCCAGTCTTGGCATCTCCAGTACTTAGATTATAGGCATGTGCCACCGCATCTGAGTGCTAGGGATCCAAACTCAGATCCTCATGCTTGGGATGCAACTACTTTGCTGACTAAGCCACTCCTACAGCCCCTGATGCTCTCTCTTGAAATGTCCCTTCCCTTCCCTCCACACTAGTGACCAAGACTCTAACATATGAACTCTTGTGGGAGAAGCCATATGCAAACCATAGTGAAGGGAGGCCTATGCCAGTCTACTGATCAGTAAGATAAGACATGCCAAGGCGACAGTACAAGAGAGAATGCAGACATACTTTCTATAAATGAGAAGCATGCTGGTGCTAGCCAGACACTAACAGAAGGGTGACCTTGTCAGAAAGGGTATTCAGGAGACCAGGAACACAGGCATAGCAGCCTTCCTGCCATTCTCTTGATAAGAGACCATAGCAAAGGTCCATTAAACATGTAAACTGATTTTCTACCTTCAATTTTCAAAATCAAGTTTCTGCATTTTTTCAACCTTGTTAGGAAGCTGGGTACGAGCTATGACACCAATTGCTCTCTCTTGGGTTAGCAGGATGATGCTATTACAGCCCCAAGCAAGGGCACTATGCCAGGCAGAGACGAATTTGATGGTGTGTGTACCCTGCCTCTGCAGGATGCTTCAGGGCCTTTCCTACCCAACCTAGGAAAGCAAGTGCCTCTGGCAGAAAAGGGCCCTGGCTCCAGAAATGTAACTTCTCTTCCACTCATGTATCCACCTGCTCTGAGGTCCCCAGGGAAAGACAGAAGAGGCAAGCAGTGGCTGTGTGCCCAGAGGAGGCCAAGGCCATGGTTTCAGGTGAGTTACAGAACCTGGGGCATCTCTTCCTCATGATCTCATTTGGCCTGAAATTTGCATTTGACTGACAAGTCTACCTTAGTAGGTCCTAAAGAGGAACATCTGGCTTGGGGTGGGGGGGTGGGGGTGGCTCTCCTTCCTCTCCTGAGGGCCATAGTAACCTGGCCTCACTCAGTCAGTGGGACTTGCTAGATCTAGCTGTCTTTTGTAGCTTGTGCTCGTGATTTGAGTTTTTCATTTGATTCTATTCCAGGCCTCCACAGAGAATAAAATAGTGCTAAATTCAAATAAACAAAACCGTTAGCTGTAAAAATAACAGGAAAACATTTGTATTGAGAGTATTTTCCTTAAAAAGAACGTATTGTGAAAACGACACATTCCTCCTCCCCACCAGTGAATCTATATTTAGCTACAATCAGAAATCACAGGCACAGGGTTTTGGTAGATGTGGTTGGAAGTTCTGTTTGAACTCTTCAACATTCAGCATGCACCCCCTCTCCTTAGAGATTTATTAGGTGTGAGGCCACTTCACCACCTCACAGGAGCTCAGGGAAAACATGGGGTAACTTTTCTCAGTCATCATAGCAGTTGGGGTAACTGGGCTTCTTGGGGACACTGGGATTGGTCAATGTCTAAAGGTGAGGGGTGGCTGATATTAGTTGGGTAAAGGGCAATGTGTAGCAGAATATCCTAAAATGCACAGGAGGACCCCAAAACAAAGATCCTTCCAGCCCAAATGAGTACAGTATTGAAGCTGAGAGATGCTTCTTCCAAAGGGCTAAGTCCAGAGTGATTGGTGTGTGTGTGTGTGTGTGTGTGTGTGTGTGTGTGTGTGTGATGAAGTTTATATAAACATACATATATTTTTTCTCACTTAGCTACATCCTCCCCACCCCCAGTGTTCTATATGAATGTCAGCTAGTGATAAGGATTGCTACAGCATGCTCCCATCACCACCAACAACAACCAGTACCACCACCATTATCTCTATCACCACCACCACCACCGCCTCTACTACTTCCACCACCACACCACCACCACCACCAGTACCAATGCCACTACCAACAACAACAACCATACCCCTACCACCCCCAGTGTGTAGATGAAGAACCCAGGGCTCAGTGAAAACAGACAGTTGTCTAAGAGCACACAGTGAGTATATGTTAAATTAACTGGAACCAGGTTACCCAGCCCCAGAGACATCGGTGTCACAGGGCATGATGCTGGGTCACATCACCCAGCAGACATGGGTGCTACAAAGCCACCCGAGGCATCTCCTTTGGCTCTGTCCTACTCAGGCCGCCATCCTTTCTTCCTAAGCCTGCAATCCCCTCCCTGCTCCATACTCTTCTAGCTCACTTCCCTGCCCCCACCTGCCTCAGAGTAACATCAGAAAAACCCTCTGTTACACTCTACCTACAGCCTGAAGCCCTCCAACTAGTCACAGGCACCTAGAAGGAAAGGCCACACAGATTCCAGTTGGTGACTTGAGTTTTGCTTGAGTCATCTCCTTGGTCATCTATGGCTTCCCATCCTATACGAGTCACTTAGCATACTGTGTTGGTCTCTCCTCCCTGCCTCCAGCATTTACTCCTGCCTCTCTTATCTGGAAAATGCCTCAAGAAACAATCACAATGTGACCTTCTCCATGAAGCCCTTTGGGACATCTGGGTCCAGAAGCAGCCACACCTCTCTTTGTGCCTTCACTTCACGGCTTTTACTAAAATGACATACCATTTGTCTTTGTTTTGAAGCCCATCACTCAAGAGGAGGGACCTTCTGTCATCTCTTCAATCAAGCTAAGTGACTGAGCAGTCCCCTCAGTCAATACTAAAGAACAGAAGATCAAATATCCTGTATGGCTTAAATTCTCCTAGCATGGGCAGGGTCACTATATAAAGAGAGCCTGTGTCTTGGGACACTGCCATTCATAAGAGGCCATGCTCTCATCTCCTTGATTCAAAGGGCTGTTTCTATATCCAGGAACACAATGAGTCTTTTTATCACCAGAACATATATATGTACCTGCTTGGTGTGCTTCCCATGTGACCATCTCCTCCTTCTAACAGGCATGGTTTCAAGATCCCCTGGGGCCCTACAGTGTGTACTTAACTAAGCAAATTCAAATGGCAGTGGGCCTAAGAAGAAACCACCAGTATCCAGGAGCGACCTGTAAATATAGGATGACACCAAAATGTACTTCCAATCAGGAGGCTCAAAGTTCAAAGGCCTAAGGCCCAGCAAGCTATATCCATGACAGCAGATGGCAGAAGGTGAAAATTAGAGAAGAGGGGCTGTGGGTAGACAGAGCAGGCCTGAAGCTGGGCCTTCCTTCCAGGATTACTGACTGTAGTAACAGAGGCCCAGGGCAGCTACATCTTTGAATTTTTTCTAGTAAAGCTAGAAATTTGCATTTTTCTGAAAGTTTTTAGATACCGATAATGAAATTCTTTTCAAATATACAAAAAGGTATTTTGCAAACTAACTCCATTTGGAGGCCAATTCTGGCGGCGGCCTGTCCGTTTGCAGCCCTGGCTTTAGATAAATAATCGCTTGAGTGATCCCTAAATTTAAGTTTTGGAAATGTACACAGATATATTCAGCACTGTGGACACACAAGGGCAGAATTTAAATCTGAGATTAAACTAGAACAGTAGGGTTAAAAATAACATCAAGGCATAAATCACCAAGAGAGAATGAGTGAAACAGAAAAGCAGGGTGCTTTTCAAACTAGCACCCAAAGCCTAGGCAGGGCTGGTTACCAGTCAGCAGGTCCATCTGCAGCAGTGTCTGGAATAAGCCGGGGTGCCTGTCTCTCAGCTCCTTCTCCCAGGGCAAGGCTCTGCACACCTCTGGCCTCCCATACCTGTGCTTGAGGTCCAGGTAGGAGTTATAGACGTCACCTACACAGAAACACAAGACATCACCTGCTCAGGAGTGGCAAGCCCATTTTCCCTCTAAAAACTGTCTTCCCTAAGGGGAGCTTGAAATAGGAAGTCTGGCTTAATGTTCCTGGATTTGGCTTGGGTCCTTAAGGGACATGAAACTGGCCATGACACCCCTGTCTTGGGGTCAGCACCGCGAACTAAATCCAAGAGAAACATTCCCAGTATGTTGTTGATGGCTGTTGACTAATTCTGCAGAATGAGCAGCTGGTCTCTGACTTGTCCCCAGGAGGCCAGTATCTGGGCCATTTTGTTGGCATGTGTGTTGAAGAGCAAGGCCCATGAGCCCCCAGGGAAGTGAAGCAGACGAAGACTTTAGGAAAATCTCCCTGATGTCACCAAACAGGATGGCATATAGGGCTGCCTTTTCTACTTAAGGTCTCACTCCTAGTGCTGTGTAAATTACCCAAAAGAGTTTCCTCTTTGGGACATTACTATTTCTGTGTGTCTGCCCCCTCTCCTGGCAGCATCTCTGTTTCTGTATGATTCAGCAGCAAGAGCAGCAAATGATGAGGACAGCCTATTCTTTTTCATTTTTTATGCTCCCATGTGTATGGGAGGGGTGAACATGCATGTAGAGGCAAGGGATAATCTTCAGTGTCATTCTTAGAAATGTCATTTATCCTTTAAGATGTGGGTTCTCATGGTCCCGGGAGCTTGCCACTTAGGCTCACCTGCCTGGCCAGCAAGCCCCAGTCTCCACTTCACCAGCAATGGGATTACTGGATTACAAGTGAGTGACATCGTATTTGAATTTTTATATGGGTTCTGGGTACGGAACTCAGGTCCTCTTGCATGCAAATACATTACCAACTCCTTAGCCCAACACAATCTAGTCTTATTATATATTGTTTGTTTGTTTTATGTGTGCATGTATGTGTACCATAGGGCTCAAGGGAGATCCAAGGACAACTTGGAGGCATCGGTTCTCTTCTTCCACCATGAGGATCCCAGAGATTGAACTTAGGTTGTCAGGCTTGGTGGTTGGGTATCTTTACCCACTGAGCTACATGGCCAGCCTGATAATCTACCCTTGACTAGAACTGCAGGTGTGCTGACTGCCTGTTACCCTCTCCGACAGACCGCTGTGTGACCCTATCAGACCAGGGCATGCTGGGATACATCTATGCACCCCTTTTCCCTCAGCCTGGAACTAGAAGTTCCACTCTGGGGGCATAAGACACAAAGGCAAGATTGAGATACGGAACTTGCTCCTGCTGACGACAAACACCCCACAGGAATTTCTCTTCCAGAAGGAACATATGTAACTGACTATAGTGTCACCACATCAAACATGGAGATCTAAAACACAGAAAATTTTACAAGTGCCAAATCTAAGCTGGGACCCCGGGAGAGGAGACAGGACCAAGCTCTGGCCACAGCCTGAGTGCGAAAGGAGGGCCTGCACAACATGAACACTGTGAACAGAAGTCTGAGATTCATTCCTTCTGTAGAATTCTGTAGAATTCACCAGTATCTTCCTGAGCTGATTTGAGGGTTTCAGAATAAAACAGAGCCCCAGCCAGCAGAGTCATTCTTCAGATATTAATGGTCAAAGACAAAAGTACACCAGTGTGTACAATGATTTCTAGTGTTTCATTTACATTTTTCAATGCATTTTTCAGACCTGCCTTCTAGGTAGGAAAAACTCCAGACAAGGTTCGAAACCTCCTCAGTCATCTGTATTCTTAGATAAGATCAGGTATGGTGGGAGTCTGATCACATTTAGTTCTTGAATGCTGCTGCTGCTTTTGGGGTGCAGGTGGGGGAGGGGATCAAGGTGGAATGCACAGTCTGATTCCCATCCATCTGTGGAAGGCTTGAAGTACACCTGATCCTGCTGGTATCTGGGCCAAGTGGTACATGGTGTATGTTTCTATTTTAGTCCCCCCCCAGAGCAAAGCCAAGCATGTCCATGCAAATGCAGGGCTTAAAATTCCCCCAGCATAGGACTGATTCAGATCCCCTGAACGTGGGTGTCAGTTAGAAGGTCTGGGCAATCTTTGCAGCCTCCTGTAGTGGACCAGTATTTATCCCTAGTACACGAATGGACTTTGGGAGCCCTCTCCACACAGAGGGATATTCTCTCAGCCTAGATACACTGGGGAGGGCCTAGGCCCTGCTCCAAATGATATGATAGATTTTGAAGATTCCCCATGGAAGGCCTCACCCTCCCTGGGAATCAGAAAAGGGATGGGATAGGTAGGGTGTTAGTAGGGGGCAGGGGAGGAGGGGAGAGAGAGGGAATTGGAATTGACATGTAAAACAAGCTTGTTTCTAATTTAAATTTAAAAAAAAGAAAAGAAAAAAAATGCCACCCAGAGCTCCACACTTACATGTTTCTCGTCTCTCACCCCCATCCTGGACTGTGGCAGCATACATGGATATTATTTCTTGGACCTCAGCACACCGCTCATAATATAACTTGATTTGCTCAGCCAGTTCCTTCTCAAGGAAGGGATTAAGAATCTGCAGGAAGGCAAGAAATCAAATGAACTACAAGTCATCAAATGTCCACAGGCTAGTACTTAGTCTGGTAGGTTCAGCTGCCTGAGGTCTCTTGTTGACGTCACCAGCTACCATCTCACTTGGATTTGCAAACCAATGCCATTAGAATCAATTCAAGGCCATGCCAGCTCTGGCTTCTGGTGTCCCATTTCATCTGCAAAGCTTCTTACACATCAGTGTGACCTGGAGACCTGTTCCTTTCCAAATCTCACCCACTGATGCTAATTCAACCCAAGCTGTGCCTGCCACCTGAGGTCCTCCTTCTGCTTCCTTCTGCTTGGCAGCACCCACAGTCTGCAAGAGCCAACGCAGGGCCACTGTTTCACAGCACAATTCCCCACAGCCCTAACTTGTGGCCAGATACACATGTGCTTCTCAGTGAGCCCAAACACTTGGGAATTAACTCAAGTTATGTGACTTTTTATGACAAACAGGTCAAAGTCCCAAAGGGCAAGCCCAGCAGGACCAGGAGACTTAATGTTAACTCTGTTTTTGAATGCATGTCTGGATCCAAGAGAAGCTCATGAGATGAGCTCACTGTAAGCAGCAGTGGTAGAATTTGTTTTTATACAGAAGGATCTAGAACTTTAGAGCACACTGGAGGAATATATTTTTCCTTTTCTTTTTTCCATTTTGGTTTTTTGAGACACGGTTTCTCTCTGCAGCCCTGGCTGTCCTGGAACTCATGATCCTCCTGCCTCCACCTTCTTCGGCAAATCCTATTAGAGTTCATCATCTCAACCAGCAGGAGGAGGTATTCTTAGTAAAATTTTTATTTAAGCTTCATGTATGAATACGTGTGTGTGTGTGTGTGTGTGTGTGTGTGTGTGTGTGTGTGTGTTGTTCATGATATTAAATAGACTATTAAAAAATGGTTTTTTTAAGCTTGGTCTGTTGACACACATCTGTAATCATATCTACTCAGTAGACTGGAGGCAAGAGTATCAAAAGTTCAAAGCCTGCCTGAACTCCAGAGTATTCGAGGCTAGGCTGAATAACTTCCTGAAAACTTGTCTCAAAAAATTTTTAAGTGTTTTTAAGAAAGGAAAGAGTCTAAATCTGGAGAGAAAGCTCAGTGGTCAAGTGTTTATCTAGGAAGTGTAAAGCCCAAAGTTCCAAAAAGAATACTTTTATTTTGTTTTTGTGAGACAGGGTCTCCTGCATCCCAGGCTGGTATCAAACTTGACCTTGAGCTCTTAATCTTTTTGCCTCAACCTGCTGACTGTTGACATGACAGGTGTATACCACCACAGGCCACAACAGCAAAGTGTTTGAAAACTGTCTAATCCATCATGCTTGCCCAGGATCTGGCATAAAGTAGGTACTCTGAAGTGTTTACTGAACAAATGAATATTTGGCTTTTCTTTTCCTTGACATCTTGAAGACAAGGAATCAGGCTTCCTATTTGTTCTTTTGCATCTTTGCCTGTACCCCACATGATCAAGGGAATGAGGAAACAATCCCCTCACAAATATCTGGTGGGGTCCCCAATCTCCTTAAGAGGGCTATGAAGACACTGTTATGAGGCTGCACAGCAGGGAGTCCTGTGTCCTCTCAACAGATTGGAAATGACTGGAGTAGCCTTCTGTGGGAGTGTTAGAATGTATGTTCTGGGTATGGTAAATTCAGCTTGGGATTCAAAGTCCTCCAGTCTGGCCTGCTCTGGTCTGCCCTCCCCAGCATGAGCTGAGGCTGGGCTTCTGCCGAGACCGGTGAAGGACTGGAAGACTGGCACCATGGCTTTAATTTGCTGGAGTATCAAGTCTTCCCATACTTTAAATAATAGTGTAGAAAAGAAGCTTTACCAAATAACTAAGATTCTCTCCTTTCATTAGCTTAATCACTGGATAGGCAACAGCCTGATAAAAATCTACTCTATAATTAAGCTAGTAGTTATTAAAACAGAGGAAGTAAATGGTTTCCATTTTATGAGTACTAAATGAACCGCACGGTAACAGAAATCTATTATTGGGCCGGCTCAGGGGAAGCCTCAATATTAATTATGTTTGGTGGCTGAGCCCATGCGTGGTTCAGTCCGCTTGGGTAAATCTTTTGTTTACACTGTTTCTTGCCCTCAGCGGCCCACCGTCACACACACTCCTGGCAAACTTCTTGATCCCACAGGCTCACCTGTGCAGGGTGTAGGCTTCGGAGGCGATAGTATTTCACAGGTCCAAAGAAGCCTTCAATTCCTGCCACATACCTGCTCCCTCCAATAATGAAGTATCCAGCTGTGTCGTTGTAATAGAAATCTTCATGGAAGCTAGGGAGGAATACAAAGGATTGAGACAACCTTGGGGCTGGGACCCAGTTATTCAAAGAGACTCTTTCAGGGCCACTGCCACCTTAACCTAACTCAAGTTGCCACCAGCCTCTCACTCTGGTTTTGAGCAGATTGAGCCCACTGTAGGCTCAGATGGACTTGGGCTAGGACCGGCTCTGCTAATCAGCAGCTATGTAAACTTGTTAGGATTTTATGTAGTGCAGTCCCTTTTAAACACCTAATATCTACTACTGATGTTGGTGACACTGTTTGGAATCAGTGGAAATATTGAGAATTGCTCTTCTTCAATATTTTGTTCTAAAAGGCAAAAAAAAAAATATTGAGCAAACAGAAAGGAGATTAAGGAGAAACTTAAAATGTAGATCACTTGATAAGGATGAGAAGTTAAATTCAGTGAGGAGACAGCAAGGTCAGAGGTCACAGCCAGAGACAAGAGACCAGCCATGGATGATGTGCTGAATGTCCTCATTGCCTGGAAGAGCTTGGAGCATCAGAGAGGAGGCAGGACAAAGGGGGTGGCAAATATAAAGTGCATGAAACTGTTCCTTGCAGTGTTCTTCATACTCAAGACTGGAGAATCCCAGACATGTGCCAGTAAGGGATGGCCAGCCAGCAAGCCTCAGGCATTATTTTCTATGTAAATTGAAAAAGGGGCAAAAATCTGGAGATCAAACATGTTGCTAAATCTAAAAATGAAGATGTGGGGGCTAGGGAGCTAGTTGGTACACACAAAAGCCCTGGGTTCAAGCCCCAGCACCACATAAACTGGGTAGAGCAATATAAGTCTATAACCCTAACACTCAAGAGGAAGAGGCAGGAAGGTAGGAAACTCAAGGTCATCCTCTGCTACACTGTGAGTTCAAGGCCAGTCTGAGGAGAGAGAGAGAGAGAGAGAGAGAGAGAGAGAGAGAGAGAGAGAGAGGGGGGGGTTCTATTTGTGTAGAGAAAGTGGATAAATATATTCAAGAAGCTAATTCTCCATAGGATGGGGAATAGAAGCTGGAGTAAACATTAGGAGAGCTGGAGGCAAAGCTTGACTCTATCTTCCCTTTTACTCTTTTCTTTCTTGCTTTTGACTTCTTAACACCATGTGTACTTACTATCTGTTTAAAAACCAAACTAGGACTAGGTGACGGGTGTGACCAGAGCATACGTGAACAGCAGGGTACTCAAGACAAGTATGAAGTAAGAAGCCAGACAAAGAGGAGAGAGCCATGGGCAGAGAGGGCAGATGGAAAGCCAGGAAGAGAGAACAAGATGACAGGCAGGCAGCCAGAAGCCAGGGAGCTAAGGAAGCCAAGAGTCAGGGGGACAGCAGGCTCTTGACAGGTGGGTCAGGGAAGCCAGGCAGCAGAGGGTTATTCCAGGACAGAGATGGACTGACCGCCTCTCAGCAAGACCCTGTTCTCTAGCAGGTGTACCTAGCCAGGGAGGAGGCTTGTTTTGGTGGCAACTACTGTCACAGAGCTATCACTTAGAAACATAATAGCTTAGGCACACACAACATGGGGGGGAGGGTATGAAATGGGCTTGTTTTGGTGTCACAGAGCTATCACTTAGAAACATAATAGCTTAGGCACACACAACATGGGTGGAAAAGAAGGGCTTCCACTCTGTGTATTTATGCTTTCAGAACCTCAGCCTTGATGGACTAGGGAAGATAAAGGTCCTCCCCCCTCCTTCTCTCTCTCTCTCTCTCTCTCTCTCTCTCTCTCTCTCTCTCTCTCTCTCTCTTTTTCAGGAGAGATCACAAAGTTAGTAACTCTGAGAGATGAACACACTCTGGTTTTCAGGACCTTGGAAAGACTGGAATGTTCTAACAACTCTCTGGGGAGCACTTGGTCCTGAATGAATGAGAAGCTTCATTAAGGAACCAGCTTGCTTGAGGTCCCCATTCTCGATGACTCCATTGGCCAATGCTCACAATGCTACTAAGAGTTCCCTAGTAGAGGTTCTCTGGAGCCCTCATCACCTCCCCCTCCTTTTAAACATGGAAATAGCAATGTTTGCTTATAGGGTAGGGTTGTTGTGAGGGTTGAAAGGACTACAGGTTGAATAGCCAAAATGCTTCAGACCAAAAGCGTTGTAGATTTCAGAAGGCTTGGATATTCCAGTACATGCATAGACTGGTGACTGGTTGAACATCCTGAATCAGAAAAATCTAAAAATCCCAAAAGCTCTGAAATCAGAAACTTCTGGAACATCTAAAGTGCTCTAAAATCTGATGTGACAGTCCGAAACTAACAGAATGTTTGTGACTTCCCATTTCTAAATCTCAACCATGTACTTCATAAAACCACTTTATAGTTCCATTATCAAAAGAAAATTCTTTAAGAGAAATAACTAAACTAGCTCATATATTTACTTAATTTTTACTAAAAGCTTGAAGTTTTGCTTAATCTTTAAACTCTTGTAAATTACAACCTGTGGACATGTAATTTAAAGCCACAGGATCATATACTCAGCCATCGAAAAGACATCGAAAAGACACCCATGTCTTCATTGTGCATTCTCCTCCTCAAATGTGTCTCTGTCTAAATACTTAATAAACTCACTAACCGCTTCACTCAGACTTGTCCTGAAATTGTTTTCTAGCTTTATCTAAGCAGAGGTCACTAAGGTCACTAAGAGATGAAGGCAAGGATATAATTTTATCACTAGACCCAAGATATATGGTAAATGGGTGTTTATTGGGGAACAATTACACAGAAAAATACAAAGAACTGCTGGAGCATTTAGGTTTAAGATTTTTGGATACTCAATGTATCTAGTGCAGTGTTGGGCACATTGTAGATACCATGGCTATTAGCTACAGGTGTGATTACTCATCTCACGGCTGGACTTCTGTTCCCACCATTGGAGGCACACGCTTACTCCAAGGTGTGTTTATTTCTCATACAAAATACTGCCAACTATATGTTCATTGCAATCCTGGCATTTACTTCAACATGTAATCTATTAAAAGAGAACTGGGGAACCTACAGTTCCTTCTATTAGAGACCAAATTAAGCTGGATCTATAATCCCAGCTACTCAGGAAGATGAGTCAGAAGGATCAAAAGCATAAGGCTATCTTGGGTAACATAGTGTGACTCTGCCTCAAAACAAAACAAAAAGGCTCAGTTATTTTAGATATGGAACAATGATAAATAACTATGAAAGATTGTCAAGATAAACTGAAGAAATCTTGAAGGGCTTGAACCTCAAACTGTTTTACAAGTGTCTTCTTTCTTCCTATCTGGGAAGAAAAGAAACAAATTGTATATGGTTTCTAAAAAATAAAAACAAAAACAAAAATACCCATATCAAACTCCAATTTTCAGAACAAAAGGAAGGCCCTGACTACAAAGTTTAGTACAAACTTATACAGTAGTCCCTAATCACTCAGGGGTGCAGCCCAAGAACCCCAGCAGATGGCTGATCCTTACATTGTTTCAAACCCTACCCATGCTGGTTTCCTGTCCCTGTACCTCCACACCTACCATAAGCTCAATTAAGAAACTCCACACAATAAAGGATGAACAATAGCAAATGATAACAGAGCAATTAGGGCAGCATACTTTAATAAGCACATGCAAATGTGGTCTCCTTTCAGAGTATCTTTTGGTGCTGTGTTCACCTTTCTCCTGTGAGGGAGAAGACACTTCAGAGAAGCACCTAACAGCTCCCTTGGGGCTTTTCAACTCCCAGCGTCGCTACTACTGTGCTTTGGGAATTTTTAAAGTAGAGTGAGGATGGTATGAACACTGATATCTTGACAGTGGGTGTGATAACTGAAGACCAACAGAAGTAACGGGCAGGTAGCACCCACTGCATGGAAAGATGATAAAGGACAGGGCAAGGTAGCAAAGATTTCACCCTGCTACTCCTAACAGTAAGCACTTTAAAATGTACACAGCATTTACTTCCAGAATTCTCATTTAATATTTTGGACCTCTGTTGACTGTGGATAAGTAAAACCATGGAAAGTGAACCCCTAGGTAAGAGGAGGTACTGTATGTTTTTAAGTTACAGTAAGATACTTAAGATAAGGGTCCTTGCTTTTACTGTGTATTCTTTTTTTTCACTTAAAAACAAATTACTTGGTCTCTATGTCATTGCTTAATAATTTTTAAATTGTCATCGTAATGAACCATCAGCAGGTATGTCTAGCTTGTCTCCATTTGCATCTCTATATCATGTTTCCACATTTTTCTCCTCTGAAATTCTCAGTGTTTGCATAAGATTGCAAGCGAACCCTTGTACTGTGCATGGTTTAATGGTCATCAATTTTGTTGACACGAAAGCTGAGCTAGATGCTTCCAGAGCTCAGACAAGTCTCTTTGGAAAACCACAGACATTCTGGCAAACTATCTTTCCTCTTATCTGGACACAGAGGGCCATGGTTTATTACTGAAGAGCACCAAAGCCCAGAAGATTCACAGACGCTCTTAGATAAGCCCCCACCCCCACCCCGCTCAGAATCAGGAAACAGCCAGACTTGCAGTTCCTCTGAGAGGAGACTTAAGGACCCTCACCTCTAATCATAGGTTTTGTCTGGTGTCAATTCCTCAGGACCTGATGTAAGTTCTGACTCTCTCAAGCCACTTTATTTGTTCTTCCTAACATTTCCAATAAGCTGTAACTTTAAACTTATTTGTGAATTTATTGTTCAGTAACACTCTCCTTTAGTGTGTGTGTGTGTGTGTGTGTGTGTGTGTGTGTGTGTGTGTGTGTGTGTGTTTTCAGTTTCATGGAAATAGGGACTGCATTCCCTCTGTTTACCTTCTTCCCCAACCCCAGAACCAGGCTTTGAGTATGGCATGTGAAATTTGTTCAATAAGTATGGAATGGACAGACAGATGGACAGATAGATGGATGGATGGACCCTAAAGGGATTCCTGTCACCAAATGCCACTCATAGCCCCTTTGTACCCAGCACTGTGTTGCTGAACACTTAATTTGTTTCTATGACCCTACTTGCACCTTCATGGGATAAAACCAATACTATGTTTACACTCCCAGAGAACTAGGAGGATGTCTTTACAATACTTGCAACCAGGAAGCCTGAAATGAGATGCTGTTCACTTCACTGATTTACATCTCGGTACAAATGGGGCTCTGGCTGAGATTCTATACACCTGTCCACAGAAACCTCAAGAGAGGGGTTGTACACCTTGTGGACCTGGCTTTCCCCTAGCTGTTCTACTGTGTCTGAAGGAGCCCCAGTCAGCTTCTCTGTCTCTTGAATTAGTCACAGAAGTCACTTTCATAAAGAAAACCTACCTGTGTTGGATGCTTTCTGCCAGTTTTGGCACACCTTAAGACTTCTGCTTTATCCTCATGCTCTACACTACAATACAGTTATTGACTTACTCTTGACCTTTTTGCAGCTAAGTGATCCTTATACTTTCTAAAACAAAACAAAACAAAACAAAACAAAAAACAAACAAACAAAAACTCTACTCCTTAATTCTGGCCACAAAAAAAAACAAAAGAAAACAAAGCAAAAAAAAAACCCCAAGAATTGTCCTAAGCTCCTGGAGCCTACTAGAAACCAGCTGGATTTACATGTAAACAGGAATGGCTGAAAAGAAGAGTGTGGCTTCTATTCCCACCTCACCCCCTCTCTCCTTTGATTTCTCCAATAGCCAGTTTCTGAGGGAATCTGGGTATCTTGCTATAATGGGGTTTCCCAGATACCTAGTGAAGTCTGTCTGTGGTTGACAATATAGAACCCACTATTATGTGTGGATATAGGAACAAATTAAAAAGCAACAAAGCACAAGGCCCCAGTTCTCAGCCCCAGTTCTCTATAAGTCATGTGGAGATGGTTACAGGAGGATGAAAAGCTGTGCTGATATCAATAGCTGCACACATTTCAAGTCTAGATTATGAACATAAATATGAAGACTGTCTGCTTTTATGCTCTACACTATTCCAAAGTTTCCAGCCGATCACAATGAGCAACATTAATACTTAGATTTATTTTCTTTAGAATCCTTCGTAAAGATAATTTTCAAAGAAAATAAATTACCAAGTGCTACAAAGGAAGAATTTATGGTGAGATTTGGAAAAAGGATTGACGACTTTCCCTTGCTTAGTACCATATATATGTATATATGTGCATTATATATATGCAGGAAAAACAGGTGCCTGGTAAAATTAAAAAGTACAAAGTCTAGCTTGGGCCCTGAGATGGTCCATTGGGTTCAGGCACTTGCCACCAAGCCTGACAACTTGAGTTTGAGCTCAAGAACCTACATGGTGAAAGGGGAGAAACAACTCCTGCAGGTTGTTCTTTGACTTCCACATGTACATGGTGACTGACTTATGTATGTCCAACATGGCTGACCTCCACGTGTACACCATAGCATCTGTACACATGCAAGTGTGTGCATACATGCGGGGGCAGGGGGGGATAAAATCATAAAAAAAAACCACCAACAACAAGAATACTGGCCTGGAAAAGCTGAAGGGGTTTGCAGAATAACCTTACCGTTGAGGGCTACAGCATGAAGACTACAAGTAGACCTAGAATGGTCTACTTGTGAATGAAGACCACACTTACCTAATGGTCTGATTATGGTAGCTTTTCAAGTCCCATCCAGTGCTGGCAGTGACCACTATCTACATTGGGAGAGAGATAGAAGCGTCAGTTAGGTCTGCACATCCCATGCTATAAATACATACGGCCCTTGGTATAAATTACTCATGAAATGTGCTTGTCATTCTCCTGATTAATTTTTACAAAAATAAAATTAACAGTTTACTAGCCCTGTGTATATTTTAAGACTTAATAAATTTAGCTTTCCCAAATGACTGGATGGTGTGTCTAAAAATATCTACAATGCAATTTCTGCCAGTGGAGTTTGGATGCTTCCAGACTTCAAGCCAGAGGTTGATTGGATGTGTCTGTGCCTCTAAACTCACGAAGAAGACAGGGAAGTGCATCTGGCAGTACAAGTAGGTTCTGAAGTGTCACTGATTTTACCAGAGTCATGGGGGAGACAAGACGGGTGCTGTATGTTCTTCATGGCTTGCTGGTCCCACCTCCCTTTCCCTAAGCAACAGTAGTCATCACCCTCATTTGGGTGAGGACAATGTTCTTCTCATGATGCCATGTGTTATCCCAATCAGGCTCTTCTTAGATCTAGGGACACTGTGTAAGTCCCTGAACTAATGGGGAAACTTTTTATTCTGACACTTCCACAAGAAGTGTTTCCACAAAATGTGCCCTGACCTTTCTAAAGTCTCAAAGACTTAAAGGCCACCCCATGAATACATAAGATAAACGAATCCACTAGAAATCAACCCTACCAGTCATGGGGCATGTGAGAAGACAACATGACCTAACCACTTGTCTCTCTTAGCAGTCATTTACCTTTAAGTAAGTGATTCACTTGGCCAAAGCAGTATGTGTTGGCAATCCCATCAGACATCTGGACCTATGTCCATGAAGCAGTCCAGATGAGGCAGAAAGAAAGTCTGGAAGCAACTGAAACCCACTGGCAAAAGAACACACACAAACACACACACACACACACACACACACACACACACACACACACACACACACCACAGCTCTGCTTTTCCTTTTACCTTTATGCACTTCCTACTCTTCTATGACTGCATTCCACCCACCACATACACATTACACTATGCAGCTCATCTCTCTAAGGGACTGTATTCTTTGGTTGACCAACATTATCTACGACTCTCTACTGCCTTGCAAGCTGAAGTCCAAGGTTCTGCACATTCTAGCCCCAAAGATACAACTTTTCTTCCATTAGTTTTCTATATCCATCCAGTTTATATATTGGAAATTTCATTCTTAAATGTATGTGTTGTTGGTATTTGGAGGTGAAAACTCTGGGATTCTTATTATAGGAAGCCCAAAGGATAGGACCCTTTGATGAGATTAGCAGCTACCTAAGAAGAGAGGGCCCAAAAGATGGTTCAGTGGGTAAGGGTGGATCCACCAAGCCTGGTGAGCCTTAGTTTTATTCCACGTGGTGGAAATAGAGACTTGACTCCCATAAGTTGCCCCCTGACTTCCATATATGTACTGTGGCATATGAACACTGGAACTCACATATACATATTATGCATACACACTAAAATACATATATATGTATGTAGATGTAAATTAAAAATCAAGGAGAAAGAGAGATCTGAATTGGATATTCTTCCTGGCTATCATCTAGTGATGCCCATGTTGTAATGCAGCAAGACGGCTCTCACTAGATGCCAGCAATAGCCTTCAAAACTATTAGGAATTAACTTTGTCTCCAGGTAGTCTGCTGACTAACAGCAGCCAGTTTGGCTTATCTGTGAAATTTCCAATCACGTGCAGAAAATCCCCCTCCTTTCTTCTCCATTTAAATTCTGCCCAAACATAAAAACCTTGTACACGATCGCTTCCCTGAGCATCCCAGCATGGAATGCTGTCTTCCTTCTAGAAATCAATATGAATCATTTGGCAATTAAGCTTGCCTTATGACTTCTCTTCACGTGCTTAATGTTACTTCCATAAATAGTCTATAAGTAACTGGAGCCCGGTGCCTTACATACACACAGCAGGTGCAGAATAAGATCTACGAACCTGCTCTGATTATTTGATGCTTGTCTTGGTGACACACCATGTGCCTCACACACATGGGCATGGGTAACATGAACCTCAGCTATGTTACTGAACATTTTTTAAGGGGAAAAAAAGGCACAAAAACTTCCAGCTGGCATCTTACTCAGTCCTCTCAGGAAGGCAGCAAGAATTAACCTGATTAATTTTTTTCTCTTCAGAAAACAGAAGTGTGGGAACCTTAAGCACAAGGGAGGACCATGCATTATCTAACGCACGAGACAAACAAAATGTCTCCTCCAGTTTTGTTCCAGGAAAATCACAAATCAATAAGAAAAGCTGATGAGAAAATAAAGTAACCAGAAAAAAAGCTAGCATGCCAGCATCACATCGATGGAGAAATGGAATCGTCCTCAATTACAACAACAGATTTCCCACAATCCATAAAAACCTCTGTTATGGGGGGTTTGAAACAGTTATGAGCAATGTTTTATGTACAAAATAGATAAAGACCCTCCACCCACCACAATCATCACTTATCCACGTTGGTTATTATGAGTGTGTTTAGTGCCAAACATAAGCAATTGTTTCAACTGCCAAAAGCAGTCAAATCATTTCTTAGTTGAACTAGGCCAATAAATTAAAAAAAAAAAAAACTCAAAAAACAAAAAAAAACAAAAAAAGAGTTGTAGATCTAATAAGGTCATGTAAACATGGCCAATGTGGCTTTGACACTTATGTGCACAAAGCTTATCTCCCTAGGGGAGAAGGACTGAATAACTCAGATAAAGTGGCTATTGAGCTGGCTATATTATTTACTCCTTCACCACAGAGTGGAGAGAAGCACTTTAAAAGTTAATTAAATGGGATGAGACTCTTATGATTTAAACTTCCATCTATAAAGTTCCATTTAGCAAGTTCGTAATTGTAAAGGGCTCATCGTTTGCCAAATTCCCTCCCAGGCTTTGTGGCTCTTGGTTCACAACAATGTTTAGCTCAAAAAGATGCTCCTATGACTTCAGGTAGAGTAAATACATAGATACCTGGCCTCCACTGAAAGAGATATCCAGTCGGAGCCACTCCTTCAGAGGGAGGGTGAATTTTGTTTTCACAGCCAGATCTTCCCCTTTGACAAGATGCACTTGAATATGCAAACCACCTACAAAGAAGATGAGGTCATGACATTAGCAAGGAGCACCCTGTGGTATGAGAAGGGGCAATGCTTTTTCAATAATTCTCCAAAGAAGTTACAAGAATAAACCACATATAAACCACACACACCCCCACATGCCTCTGGCTTAAACAAAAACCAAGTCAAGCCAGGTGCAGTGTGATGCACACCTGTAATCTCAGCACCAGAGGCTAAGGCAGGAGGAGTTAGGGTTCCAGGCCAGTCTGCATTATACAGTGAGTTCCCCACCTTCCTACATAGGGAGATTTTGTTAGATTGATAGATAGATAGATAGACAGACAGACAGACAGACAGACAGACAGACAGACAGACAGACAGGTGATTCAGACATAAAACAAACCAAACTAGCAACACCCCAAAACTGCATTTGTACATGCATTTCTTTGTAGATAAGGTATTTATTTAGAGCCCCTAGGGGGAGAAAAAAAAGACTAATTTAGAGCTCACGGTTGGTTCCCTATGGTCTTATCTGCATAACAACACCCAATTTCTATATTCAATTTCTATTTCCAAATGAAAAGAAAACAGACACCTTTGTCTAACAACCTGAACCCAAGACTATCTAGGTCTCTTCAATGTATTTTCTCAACTTTACACAATTGTCATAATTCCACAATCATTCTTAGAAAGATTATTTGACTGCGTCTACCCAAAATAATCAATTTGGTTTTGGTTTGTGTGTGTGTGTGTGTGTGTGTGTGTGTGTAAAGAACATGCCTTTCTTTCTCCATTCCTATTTTATTGGATTACACATCTAAATAGCATAATTACAATGCCCACACAATCACCATTAGCTGCTTGCAGAATAATGTACATTTTAACCTCACAGAGCCTGACACTGACATTATCTTCCTTATCCTGGACAGATGTTTCTGCCAAGGAGAAAGAGTATAAGGAAACGACAAGATCATTTCAAGGCTCTGTTTATACTCACCCTCTTCCGTAAGAAACACAGAAGGTGTGCCGTACATCTCATTAGAATCAACAAAGTACAGAATTCCACAGAGACTGGCCTCGCAATAATGGAGTAAATAAAGCCACAGTGAAACTGTAACCCTAAAGGAGGGAAGCGAAAGAAAATTCTGCAGATATCATCCAAGAACAGGTAATTACAGTTAACAATGACCAAGTAAATTGCTTTCTTTCTAACGAAGGGGTGGATTTGCCTTAGTGTTCATCATGGGAGATCAGCTTGCAAAGCTTGAGATTTTGAGACAAAAGAGGTAGTTATAGTAACTGCAAAGATTGGAGTTAAGCTCCTTTGTACAAAACTCGCTGACATTCTACCTTGCACCAAAACTGTTCCGGGGCTCTCTGAGATGCTCACGTGCCAGCAATTTGAATTCTTGATTGAGGCTGATAAAGCGAGACAGTGAATAAAAATATGGATTTTTAATAAGAGGTGATGTGATAAGGAGCTATTCTGATATCTGTGATTAAAAGGTAAAAAAAAAATGTAATTAGAGCTTTCTGAGCAATTTTGTTTCTTTCAAAGATAAAAGCCCCAAATGTAATGCTCTGCAAATGGCATGTCCATGTGACACGTGGACACAAATGCACCATCTTTACACTCACATTAGGGTACTTTAGTAGCCCAGTTCTGTCTGACAGATATGGCACAACTCATCTAATTATTCCATTCCTGCATGGGGCTATTTCAGTTGGACAGGAGTAGGGGGGTTGGAGGAGGGGCACCATGACAGAGTAGATGGCTCAGTTGGTAAAGGGCTTGCTTTACAAACATGAATACAAGAGTATGATACCCAGAAACCAGGGCAAAAGGTCAGGAGCAGTAGTGCTTGCTTGTAATCTCAGCACTGGGGAGACAGACAGAATTCCCAGGCTCACTGGCCAGCGTAGCCCAGTTGGCAAGATCCAAGCCAGTGAGAAACTCTGCCTCAAAAACTAGTTGGACAGCTCAACTTCAACAGCCTAAGGTTGACCTCTGGCCTCCAAACGCACGCACACACATGTCTTCAGGCACACATACAAAATGTATGCACACCCACATGCATATAAAAGGAAAAATATTGGTTGGGCCGTGGTGGAGCACACTTTTAATCCCAGCACTTGGGAGGCAGAGGCAGAGGCAGGCAGATCTTTGTGAGTTCCAGACCGGCCTGGTCTACAAGAGCTAGTTCCAGGACAGCCTCCAAAGCTACACTGGGAAACCCTGTCTCGAAACTCACCCACCCACCCCCCAAAAAAGGGAAAAATTGTACAACTGTGATTTATGGAATGAGGCTAAAATAACAGTAGCAAACTCAGCTAGGGCAGTTTTAGCCAAGATACGTGATACATCCATCACTCGGGAAATAATTGCTAAACACTTGTGGGAAGCACCACACTGTGCTAGAGACCAATAGTCCAGCAACAAGGAGCAGGGAACCAGCACATTGGGTATATGACACATGGCTCAATGTAAAACAAATGCATCTCGCTCTTTCTACTTAGCACCGTAGCTAATTTGAAGCCTGGGCTACGGTAGCAGTGGCCCTCAATTCTTTGGGGGCTACAACCAAAGAACTCTTTCAGAATATTCTGGGCTTTGTAAACTGGCCTTGAAGTCAGTGTCACAATGTGCAAACAGATGGTGTCACAGACTTCCCTCCTGACCCACCCAGCTGAGCAAGCTCATGAAGATAAGTTATTACAAGGAAGCTTAGCGAGAACATACGCTTGGTGAGTGACTCAAGATCTTTCTACCGCCAGCAGCACAGGAAGAATTAAATCACTCGGCTAAATCCATCTGATCTGAGGTGAGAGAGAAGCCATTCTGAGCATCTTCGGCTCAGTAGAAGGAAAAATAGATGTGGATTCTGCTGAAATCAATGGAGGAGATCAGAGGCCCACTGTGTTCTAGCAGCTCATCCAATCTTCCAGGACGGAATGGGCCAAGACCAGGACTACAATCCTGTGCTGGCTTTGGATGGCTGCACTTGAAGCCTCAGAAGACCCGAGCCTCAACACCTTGCTGCCTGCTCATGCCATCTCTGGGCCCAGCCCAAAAAGATGAAGGAAAATGGAAGGCTCCTATAATTTCCACTTAAAGTTCCCTAGTTCTCCGATTCTCTTTAAGCATTGTGCAAAGCACCTTGCCAAGCCATGTCTTTGGAAGGGGTTTTCCCACTAGCTACCAGGTGGTCAGATACAAACAAGCCCATCCCACCAGCCCACAACCTGCCCCCTTACATGGGGTAGTCCACTCGTTGGCTTCGGGTGGCCTCCAGCTCTCGGTTCCGGAACTTGGGGAGCTTCTTCACGATGCCAGTGTTTTCTCCACTGGAGGCATACGGGAAACTGAGGAGGGCAACTGCATCTGTAACCATCACAGATTTCACCTTCAATTCTCTCCAGAGAAGCACTCCTACCCAATGCACACTCTTCCTGGTACCCTTGGCTTCCAGTTACAGCCACACAGTTAAAGAAATAGCCTAAAATTATGACTAAGCATTTGCAGAACACAGAATCTAAGCCAGGAACCACCATGCTAATTAAGCACATCAGCAAGACAGGCTTCATTAGTTTTCATTACAACTTCAAGTTTTTGTTATTAGTCCCATTCTGTGGAGAGAAAGTCTAAGGTTAAGTTCACAAAGTTCAGAAGTGATATGGTCAGACTTCAGGTTTAAACTCAGGCATCTATCTATCTATCTATCTATCTATCTATCTATCTATCTATCTATCATCTATCATCTATTTTCTTTGTGGCAATCAAGGACCTTGCACAATGTAAGCAAACACTCTGCCATTAAGTTACATCTCCAGCTGGCTTTTGTGCTCTTAACCACATTGCATACAGCCCTTTAATGCTAGAGAAAGAATTTTCAATTTGTGTTATAGTTATAACGATGTTAGCACTTTGACAAAACTCATGAAGGTACAGACAGTATAGCAGCATAAACATTACACATGTATTACCTTATTGAATTCTCATTATCATGGCCAGTGCACAGAAGGGAAACAGAGGCACAGTTTACCAAGGTACTAACTAATATTTGGTGTACAACATGCATCATCATAAGCACAACTCAAGGATGACATCACTAAACTTCGTAACAAATGAACAAGTGGGCCCTTCAGCACAGCAGTTGACAGATGAAAACCTGAACCTTACAAAGGGATAAATAAAAAGAAGCGGGGCTGGGATGCAAACTCAAGCAATTTGGTTTTAGAATTCGTGCTTTTGAATTTACACTTCTTTTTGTGTTATTCTGATTTTGCAGTTCTAGGAATCAAATCCAAGCTCTTGCACATGCTAAACACACACCCTACCGCTGGTGTATAGCAGCCTCATTTTGATTTGGATATGAATGCCACTTGCACTCAACATATCACCTCTGTACAAAGTGACTAATTGAATCCCGGAAATGGGGAAGCCAAGACCATGTGAAGATACACAGGTTAATAGAAATGGGTTCATAATTAAGAGAGAACTAGCCAATAAGAAACCTGATCTATCGGCCAAACCATTTATAATTAATATAAGCTTCTGTGTGTTGATTTGGGACTAAACAGCTGCAGGACTGGGTGGGACAGAAACTTCTGTCCACAGAAGGGTTCCACTTTCTTTCACAAGCATGGGGGTGTGGAGCATAGGCATATCCACAACAGATCTTCTAGGGGAAACCAGCCTCGTTGGATCTTTATCCAATATCTACTGCTTTAATGAAGGCTAAGTATACATTTCTATTTTCCATATTCACTTGACCTAGGAATAATTATGCCTTTCTCTTTCTTAAAATGCTCCTGGGTTTAAACATCCATAATTCAAATGATAGGAACAACCCACTCTTCCCAGGACTCTTGGGGAGATAAGTTGATTTCTGTAAGAGCCATCAAATACACAGTACTGGCACATATTACAGGTTCCTCATCTTGGGAAGCCAGATGGCTCAGCTCATTTCCCAAAGAGAAACCAGAAACTGTAGTAAGTGTAGAAGTACCTTGAGTTTAATATGATCTGAAAAATCCCAAAAGCAGTTTTTAGAATCTCTAGCCCTTGTATATATATATTTAATAGGATTAAGAAAGCCAGTTCCCTGAAAGCATCTAAATCATGACATGAATTTGAGCTCTATTTGGGCACAGAGGACTTTCTGGTCTGTTATGAGTGCAGTGATGGGAACTGTAAATGGAAATACTGCAGAGGTCTTTAGACTCTGAAGATAGCTCATCAAAAAGATTGATTTCAGCTGACCCTTGGCTTGGCTTCTATGTGTTGAAGGAAGCAGAAGAGGCCAGATAGTCATATTTGCACCAGGAAGTCCAATGCACATAACAAAGCAACCTCACAACAGGAAAATGAAGCTTCACAAAAGAGGTTTTACTCACCCTAGGATCAAAGTGCCCTGCAGCCAAGGACTGTGGAGGGAGAATGCTCAACACAAACATCCAAAATAGCTTTGCAAAAATACATAGTTTTGGTGCCCAACAAAATCAAAGGCACGGACATGTTCTTGTCAGTTCTGTAGCTTTAATAGTTTTGTGGTGTTTTTCCCTCTGTGTCATATTATGTGTTCTATACAACCAAAATTAATTAGCAAGAAAGACATTTTAGAATCCATCTAGAACAGGAGAGCATATAGGCTTGTTGTCCGTTAGCTGACAGTGGCTGTTGAGAATATCAGACAGATGTTCCTTGACTTATATGATGGAACGACATCCCCCAAACTATCAATGGCAAAAAATATAAAAATGTACTTAATATTCTAATCTACCAATCATTATCACTTAGCCTAGTCTATCTTAAATGTGCTTAGAGCACACATTAGCCTACAGTTGAACAAAATCATCTTATACAAAACCTATCTTACAGTGATGTATTGGTTCATATGACTCACTAATACTGTACTAAAAATGGAAACCACAATGGTTGTGTAAGTATGATTCTCCACTGTCAAAAGTTAAGAAATCCAGGGCTGGTTCAGTGGTTAAGAGTCCTCTCTAAGTCACCAGGAGGACCTGGAATCACATGGAGGTAACAATGTGACAAGCCAGCCATGGTCTTAAGCATGCCTAGAACCCCAGCAGTGATTATCATTGGAGTTTGCTGGCCACTAGCCCAACCCAAAAGTTCAAAAACTGGGATCAGGAAGAAACCCAATCTCAAAGATATAATGCAGAAAGTAATGAAGCAGGACACCCAATGCCCTCCTTTGGCATCCATGTGCACATCACATAGGTGTGTACACCCCCCCACACACATGTACATACACATATACCATATATACACACACAGAAGTTGAAAAATCCTAAGTCAATCCATCATGAATCAAGGATCATTTGTAGTTGACTAGTGATGTCTCTCACAAGAGTAGACGATGCCATTCACCATCAAAACAGTTATAGGTAAGTTAGGTACTAAGAGATTTAGTGACTTATCCAGTTGTCTCCAATGGTCCATGAAAATAGGGGCCTTCCTTCATTCATTTCTAGTCTCAGAGCCTAGAACAGTGCCCAGTGCTTGATTGGAGTTCCATAAGTAATGGTGAATAAATGAATGCATGTAACTATAGACAGGTTAGAATCCAAACACTCCCCTCTCTTTTCCAACACTTTCTACAATTCTAGTATATGCACCATGCTACCTAAGACAAATAATCCTTTCAAATCCTTTCTTCAATTCTACTTCTTTGACTCTTGTATGAGATGAGGATGGAGAAGGAAGAAACCACACACACACACACACACACACACACACACACACACACACACAATGTATAAAGGCAATACATGTTTGGAATTCTTCCTGAACTGCTTTTGTTTTGTTTCTTTAAATTTCAGAGCAACAAGAGGAATTGATTATTGAATGGTGCAAATTCTTCATTTGGAGACAAGAAAAATGTCACTGTCCTGATGATAATTGAGTAACTAATAAGAGGTCCAGCTCTGACTCAAACAGTAGCTTCCCACAACACACCAGTGAGTTTTTACTAACCAAACTGCATCTCACAAGCACTCTGAGAGAACAATGACTGATGTACAGCTGCCATGCCAACTGGCTGCTAAAACACTAAAACATTTTGATATTGATTAGTTAAGAAATGCTACCTTGAATTCTCAAGGCCTTACCACCTTCTCAGCCTCACCTTCAGGTTAGAGCCTGACTCAGCATAGCTGGGGTGAGGGAAGGAATCCTCCAGCACCACCCTGCTTCATTACAAAGGCTAGTATCCCACTCATGAGGTAGATTGGGGTCCCTCTCTCTTCCTGGTGTGTGTGTATGTGTGTGTGTGTGTGTGTGTGTGTGTGTGTGTGTGTGTGTGTGTACATGAAAGTTCATGTGTATATGTTTGCATGTGGATGAGGATGAAAAGTCAATGATCAACATCTGGAGTCTTCCTTTATTTCTCTCTAACTTATATTTTTGTGGCAGAGTCTCTCACTGAGCCTGTAGGTCACCAATTTAACTAGACTGACAAGCCTGTAAAATCAAGGATCCTCCAGTCTACTTCCCTGGTGCTGTTACATGTGTTGTGCTGCATGGATTCTGGAGATTAAACTTAGGCCCTCATGCTTTCTTGACATCCTTCTTCCTGGGCCCTGCTGACTATTTTAATCTCATTGTAGAGTGGGCAGGGGCTAGAAGAATCTTGTAGCCCATTGTCTAGTCCAGCCAGAGGACTGGGACCCTGACATGGAAGCCTAACTCTGGGGAAGGTCCTGTCTCTATGTAGCAAGGCCCTTCTCGGAATGAAGTTCAGACACAGCAGGAGGACACCACTGAGAAAGACCTCCAGCCTGCACAGGGAAGAATCAAGCACCACCTTGCAAGGAATCCCTGTGGCTAAAGATCTGCTAGCAGAGCCTAGGGAGAAAGAAAGTACATTTTTTTTCAAACCTGAGAAGTACTTTCCAAACAGAGGTCCCTAAAAAGGCGGTGGATATTGTGTGCACTGTTGCCCTTAAGTCAAGCCTGAAAATAAAATCAGTATCTTCTAGCAGGGATGATTTAAAACATAAATGCCCCCAAAAGGTATCTGTGTAATGAGGTGTATTCCTTTGGATGTCTGTGGGATAGCCACTTTCAGGAGTCTTGAGAATATAGGTTCCAGTCCTTAGAACTCATCCTCCAAACATATTCACATGTACAAAGATTCCTGTAAGGATGTTCAGAGAAGCAACACAGTTGAAAGCAAAAGAAAGAAAAGCCCTACTTGGAGTTTGGGGAGGCTCAGGGAGTGTACTGCTTGCCTCACAAGCATGAGGACCTGAGTCTAGCTCCCTAGCACCTTTGCAAAAATCAAAACACAACACAAGAATGACACCAACAAAACTAGGTATGGCGTCACCCACTGGAATCCCAGTGCCGGGAGA